TTTTTTTTTTTTTTTTTTTTTTTTTTTGCTCTTTTCGATGTCGGATTAATTTTTTCCATATTGATATTGTGGTTGGCGTAGCTGCGATAACTGCGATCATAATCTCAAGAATGTGTTTCTTTTTTTTAAACTGATATGACTTGTAGTGTTGCTGAGGAGTCACGACGTTGAATGAGTGCCCATCAAGTAATTACTGGGGCTCTTAATAAAGGAGAGAACGTGTTTAGTGTAGGATCTGTAGATGGAATTAACTTCACGGTAAGTTCATCCTGCTTTACAGACAAATTACTATATGTGTTCTTCTGTAAAAGTAGATGCTTCTTTTCTTAATTGTGAATAAGAGCGTTTATGATTGGTAAATCCCTTTGTAGTTCAGTTTCATCAATTATATTTTCTTTTAAATGACCTGTTAACTTTTTTAAGTTTGTAATTTTTGCGCTGAATACCTTAACTTTTCAGGCATGTGCAGTAGGGACTGATATTGTCATATTTTCATCTTCTTTCGAGCGAGTACAGGTCATCCCTGGTTCTAATGCTGAAACAGAGCAAATTGTAACATGCGTAAACTGCTGTTCTGAGTCAGGCAAGGTTGGTGTAATTTAAAAATGGTAATTTTGCTCAAAATGGGTAAAGGGGCGCAAGATATTTCATTTTGCATTTTAAAAAATTTTTTTTATTTTGTCGTCAGAAATACTATTTCCAATTTTAAAATCGCGCTAATTGCTGTTAGTTCAGATAGCCGTTGCATACGGGAAATTAATCCGGATTTTTGAACCTGTTTATCAGGAGGGCGAGCCATGCAAACACGTTAGTGTTTTTTATAAATGAGTTACTGGAGAGTTCAAACGTAGTTTTTCTTGGAGAAATTTGGATAATGTGTCTTTTAGAAATTGGACTACAGATGGCACGAGGCCCAGTCGATTGCAATGGACGTTCCTGTTGGTCCCGTCCTGTGGAATCTTGAAGGTTATCGACTGCTTATTTGTTGTGGTGATAGGTTACTACTTTATCAACATCGGGACTTTGCCGCTTTATGCAGTAATGGTTCGAAACAGAGTGGGAGTGCCGTTATGTTCAGCATCACTGAAGAGGTTTGCCCAAATTTTGACGTATTTTAATTTTTTGGAATTACAACGTAATTTTTTGAGCAGTGTCAAGAAACGTCTTTTTTTCTTTTAACTTCTTGCTTTGCAGGCGTATTTTTCGTTTTTTAGTAGTTATTTTCCTAGTTTTATCGCTTGTGGGTATGTACGTATTATCATTTTCAAAATTTTCTCTTCATTATTGCTATAATTACTTTGCTGTAATAATGATTTTTGCGTTTGTGAAATTTCAGAGTGATCATCATTTACCACATATTCAGGTTTTTTTAGAGGCTTTGCATTGTTTTTGTTTTGTCGTATCTTTTTTTTTTGGATTCAGCTCCGTATTTGTATAGAAATATATCGTTAAATTTAATCTTTTTTCTTTCACTGAGTTTACATCAACTTCATTATCTGAAGTTTTTAATTTCAATGAGGCTTTTTAGTAATAAAGAAAATTTATTTTGTTTGGCGGTTTATCAACTTCTTATCAGACTGGAGTTGAATCCTTTACTATACTTTTACTAATTATTATTTTATCTATGTTCCTGGGTTTTTGTTAATATTTAACTCTCTTAAGGCAAGTGTATCGTTCCTGTTTTACTGGTACCTCTACGTTTCTGTTCTTTATAATTTAATCCTTAAATACTGTTGCGTCACTAAGCAATTCCTATTAATCTTTTTACTTTGACTAACCCAGTTACTGAGCTCTCACGTCTTTTCATGTTGGTTTATATCACCTGTTTTTCCTTTCTTAATTGTCCACAATGTTGTGAAAGTTGTCGTCCAATTTCAGGAGCAGGAATCTCAGGTGGCTGATGTTTTTTCACCAATTTGGGAATCTGTTTGGGCAGTTAATCTTGCATCTCCTCCTAAATTCATCTCGTTTTCGCCAGATGGTTCATTATTAGCTACATGTGGTGTACATGATAGGATGATTAAAATATGGTTTCGAGAAAGTGGTGATTTTTGTATTTTATATATTAATATCATCCTCGTATATATTTGTATTTTTGTCTTGCGTTATTTGGATTATGTAGTCATTGTTTAGATTTTGATGAAAATGCCAATTCGATACGGTTTAACTTTACTTACTTACAACACCCAGCACCTGTAAGCGGTTTTGAGTGGCGAAAAATCAGCCGATATATGCCCAGGTGATGCTTTTTCAAAATTTGGTTTTTTGAAATTATAACTTAGAAGATTTTGCAACAGTTGTGCAATATTCTTGTTTATACTTGTTTTCGATTATTAAATGCGATTTTGCTAAGTAGTACTGTTCTAGGCGCTGTGTGCAAAATGTACTGTTGTCTTGGTGTGAGGATAATACGGCTCGCTTGTGGAAAGAGGATCCATTACTTGACGGTTGCCTTTATTTGAATAATGACACCACAGAATCTTCGTGCTCTGACGACCCTAATTATGAAAAGTTTTACCACAGTCACAGGCGTTATGCCAGAGCAAAACGAAAATTATTGCTACGTTTCAAAAATTTAATGTGAGTTTATGTTTTCCAGAAAATCGTTGTTATTAGGGGCCGCTTTTTATTCTTGAAATAATTTTTCATTTATGGTCATAGTTCCCAGTTTTTCAAACTACACTCATGTTTTCTAATTTGCTGTTTTTGCTGAATAGTCAGTTCTCGATTTTTTGTATAAAATCAGCAGCAATTCAGGAAGATCCGGAGAAAAAAGGTTGACGATATTTCACATACTATCAACAGAAGTTCTTCTGCTGTAAATAACGCACTAAATGAGTTTAACTTATCTGGTGAAGTCAGTAAATTTGTATATTTTCATCTTGCAGCTTCTATCAACGCTGAAAATGGTATTCTTTTTGTTTTTTTTTGTTGACTTTAATTTGATCATATTTTTTGATATTATGTCTTTGGGTTGATTTTCAGAAAAATTTTTATGTTTTCATGCCCGACACGATGCTTGACACAATCACAGAATATTTTTTATTCAATTATCTCCGAGTTATTTAATTTACTTTTCGCCTAGGTTTCAGACTGTTTTCTTGTCCCATCGTTAGAAAGTAGTTCCGTGAATTGTAAAGCTTTCTCCGTACACTGGTTAAATAACAAGGAATTGTTGTACGGTGTTGGTGGAGAAAAAATTATTGCTGAAATTCTTCTTAATGAACAGCCAAACCATCCGAATACTGGTAAGTGCAGTCCCTCAGAAACTGCTCCACTACGCTCTTTTTTCTGGGACAAAAAGGGGTCATGGAAAGAGAACTTTTTACTGCTGCATTTTAGTTACGGCTCTTATTACTCTAAATTTAGAGAGTTTTTTTTTCAGAAAGGTTTTTCAGAAACTCCTAGTGTTACGACTGAGGAGGATGGAGGTGATAGTGTAAATGGTACTTCGGTCAAGCCCAGCACTCCTGCAGTTTCACTGTCTAATGGCACTTTTCGATCATCTGTGGAAGCACTTTCTACGGTATGAAATTTCTGAATGCCATTTTTTTAGTTTTTATCGCTATTTCAAGACAATAAACTTCACTCATTTCAGCACTCGTATTTAAAAGACGTTGTAGATCTTAAGTTAGAAGCTCTTATTAGGGATTGGTGTAAATCAAGTGACATTATATTTGCCGTTCATCCTGTTGATGGAAGCCTCTTGACTTGGTAAGTTTTAAGCCATTTGTGAGTTTTTAAGCTGAGTTTCGAGTTTAATGCTGCAGCACAACAGCGTAATGTTCTTTACGTCGTCAAAAAATTAAGTTTTTAAGGACTGTGGAATGGTTAGATGATCCTTGTCGACAACCAACTGTAAGCTTCACATCCCGGTTTCCATCTGCGTTCCCTCTGACGGATGCAGCTTCTTTAAACCCCTCGTTATATACATTTAGTTCCGATATACCAATATATTTCCCAGTTTTACACCAGCGAGAATCACCTGGTAAACGGGAAGAACACACATTTCGTAAGTAATATGCGATCTTTAAAAATGAAAAGGCTTTGATTCCATTCAATTTTCTTGACATTTGTTTCTGGATTTATAAAACTCAACACATTTTACCATTAAGCTGCTGATGGCAACAGTACTTTTTGATTTACTTTGCTTTATTATTATTTTCTGTCTCAGTACGTGAGGGATTTGATACCACTTTTTTTAGTATCTAGCAGTATTTCTCTATAATTTTCAATTCTTTCTTTTGAGTTTTATAAAAGCATACAGTTCTTACTGTTCTCTTTTTTGTTAAAAGATAGTTTTCTTGAGTGTAGGCTTCCGTTTTCACTTTTGGTGGTTCTACTGACTTTACTGGGTCGTCGGAAAGACTGTTGCTGGGAAACGTAAAAGCTTGGGAACAACAAAACTGTGCATCCTAGAAAAATTAGCAGATTTAGAGCCCAAATTTCTGAAGTTGGGTCACAGAATTTTTGCTTTACGAAACTGTGATTGTCACAATTCCGGTTTCGTCTGTTAGTGTTTTGGTGAAGATTTGTAAATCACTCAGATACATTTAGTACCCAGCTTCTGAATGCTTTGTTGGGTGTTGGGTGAGTTTTTTTTCATGGCTCTTTTCTATGGTTTTTATTGAAACTGTAGGAGGTTATCGAGCAGGAAAAAGGATTTGCATGGTTGCTTCACAGTGCGGCCTGTTGCTTGCCACCACGAATATGATGGCTGAACTGCTAGTTTCTAAACATTTTTGTGCTGCTCTCTGTTTATGCTTGCTCAGTATTATTCATCAGTACCTTGGGAACATAAAAGCCGGATGCCCCCTTAACTCGTTTCGCGCAAACATTGTTAAGTATATTGTGCAGTTCAAGAGTGCTGCGGTTATCCATCATACTGTTGATCAGATATCAATTTCCAGTGGCTGATTTTTTTTTTGTTCAAGATAGTGGGTGACAGGGTGCAGATTTTTTCTTGTTTAAACGTTCGATTCTTCTCGCGTAAGCTTATTTCCCGTAATTTTTTTTGAACAAGTGCACTTGAATTTTTTTTATACAGGGACTATTTGAGCGCCATTGTTAATTTAACTTTCGGTTCTGCGATATAAAGGGAAGGACGGTGCTCATTTTTTATCACCTAAACTTGTATATGATCGGTAAATGTACATTATTTCTGAAGGCACTTTAAGTAACTTCTTCAAAAAATATTGTACAGAAAATTTGGTTTTTTAAAAAATTTTTTCACAGATGGCTTGGTTGGGGATGATATATGCTGGGAGACATCTAGAATTTTAGTACAGGCAATCGTTTTGCAGAAGCGCTCAGCCTCTGAACAGCTAGTTAAAGTGAAGTTGCCATCGTTTAGTTGAGACTTTTTACAGAAAAAGAAAGTGGCTTATCTTTGATATGACTGTTTCTTCTTACTGCTTCATAGTAGAGCTGTTCATCTTTTATATGTTAACTTCTTGTGATAACCTACTTAATCAGATTCTGGAAGATTATGGGATGGCAGTAGTACGAATCTGTTGTATTTACTAACCAGCCATGAAAATGGCTCGCTTAATTTGTGGCATTTATCGATGGAGGAGAACTCGAAGTTTACTACAATCCTGAATGTATCTCATGTCTTTCGGATGTGTGGACATCGTTTTCAGATATCTCGGGTAAATTTTTAATTATTTTTTTCATTATTTCAGCGAGGCCATTACCATTTCTTCCTCACTTTTCCTCTTGTTTCAAACGTGTTTTAGATCGCACCTCACCCAGGACTTCCACTGATGCTAACTTCGAGTCAGTTTAGTGACGTCGAAGGGAAAGCTGGTGGTGTTGGGAAAGCAGAATTGATACTGTGGAAGATAAACCCAATAGGGCCGCTGTGCAAAAGTGGAGGAGTTAGAGAACTGGCTCGAGTTGCCGGTGGGTCGGCTAAATCATTCACATGGATGGCCTGGATTCCCGCGATACTGCCAAGGTGCTCCGATATATTTATGCTTGTGTGACTATTTTAAATACTTTAAAAAGCACTTCAACTTGATGCGATTTTTAAATATTTGTGATTTTTGAATAAAAAACCAATTATTTTCATTTTAGTTGCACATGGGGTTCAGCTTCAAATTCACCTAGTTCGTGTTTTATTGCTAGCGATGGAAATACCATTGCAGTTTACCAAGCTATTGTGGATGCATCAGGTTTTCTCGCTGAGATGTATGCTGGTACTCAAAATGGTGGCGTAACTTCATGTGACAGGTTTGTCTTTTAAAGTTATTGAGTTAAAAACTTTTCAATTCTGTTCTTATTTTTATGGTTTTCTTTAAAAGGGTAGGTTTTTAATTTTGATGAAGGTTTTTAGTAGTGTCGACGGAGATTTTTCTTATGAAGACAAGGAACAGTCATCTTCAAAAAGAAATTTAAAGGATTTGTTCAATGTAGTTTCGACACAGTCAACTGCGAAACCAGGATGTGTACTTTATCTAAGTAATTTAAAGGGGTCGAAACACGTAAGTTTGTAAGCATTGCATATTAAAACTTCATTTTGAATTGTTTTAATATTTAAGTCAGGAAAAAATTTATTTTTCATACTTGTTATATTGCATGTTGTCAGTCTTGTTTATAAAAAAGTGTTTAAAGGATGCTGATAAAGTCTTGCTTCTGCATGTTTTCAACGAGCGTTTGGTTTTTTCTGATGAAAATTATAAGTTAAATTTATCGGATGTGGCTGATGCAGCAGTAATTGACAGGACAAGGCATCCATGCTTTTCTGATCGGTATTTCGTTGTGTTAATAGAACGCCATGGGAAGTGTGACAGGTTAGCAGATTAATTGTTTCTTATGCTTTTCATCTACTTCCACTCTCTGAAGCCATATCTTTTTTGATTTCATTTCGATTGTTTAAATAATTCAAAATTGCAATAATTTTGTAATTTTGAAGTAGCAAATTTTTAGCTTTATTTTACACCTACTTATGTTACCTTAAGTGTGCTTATTTTTAATATTTTTTTTGAATTTATAAATTAGACCGTTATATGGAGTAGCGTTTGTACGTCTATTTAGATAGACGGATAGCGTGCGTTTTTTTTGCTTCTGTGAGTCCTGAAGTCTACCGGTTTAAAACTCTGGTTATGCTCATTATTTTGAATTTTTTGTTTTTATAATCTTATTTATCAAGTTTCAGAATTCGCATGTGGTCTTTGAACATAACCTCCCAGCGACCGCTGCCGCACTATGGTATTTTTTCCTTTTTGCTTGGTTATTTATTAAATGAATTATTACAAAGTTTCAAAACGAGCAGAAGGGAAATATTTAGACTGCAGTTCGATGATTTTTGATGTTTTTTCACTTGGTGCATAAAATTTTAAGAAGACGATACTTAGGAATGATTTGCTTTAGAAGAGGAGTCTGAAAGTGCAGGTCGCGCTGCTTCTCAAAAACCTGCTTCTACAGCGCGATTAGAATTAAGTTCAGAAGAATTGTGTGATCATGAATTACCTCTTCCGGAAGGAGTTAGAGTGCGTTTGTTAAACTCACTTCTTTTGTTGTAACGGAATTTCTTCTCTTCCACTATTTTTGTTTTAGGTTATGACGGCTATGGCGACTGCTGGTCATTTGCCATCTTCAAACTTGTATCCTGCGTGTCGGGCTCCTTATGTTTTGTTAACTGCTTGTTCAGATGAGCGTGTAAGGTTTTGGAACTGTGTAAGAGTTCAGCAGCCAAGTGGAACTTATAGTTATTCCTGGGAGAAGTGGCGGATGATTGGAGATTTGATGGATTCAGATCTTGAACTGGAGGGTAGGACGTTTTGAAGTTATGCTGCTATTTCTTCATTGCACAGTAATCTTTTTAACCAAAGTCATAATGGAGTTTAAGACTTCTTGCTGACTGTTTAGGTCAAATTTTTGCTATATCTTCTGCTCACAGTGGAAGGTTTGCCTGTGCATATATGCCTGAGGGTACTGTACTGACTAAGTCGAGTACACTAAGAAGCATAAAAGTTGGTGTGTTCGAATGCGAGTCGTCCGGAGGTGTTGAGTGGTTGCGGGAAGACACACTTGTTATCGATAAAAAGCCTTTATATCTTAAAAGGTTTTATTTTGATTCAGTATACCTAAATGAATTCAAAACTTTAAGTTTTTCTAGAAGACGCAAAGAAAATTCAGCTGAAACAAACAGTGTATTGAGCAGTATAAGACTGCTGGCGTGAAATGAGTTAGAAGAAATTTATTTTGTAACTGTTTTTTTTCTTGTAGGAATTCTGAGGCACCATCTCTCAACACACTGAGCGAGTCTGGCTCAGCGTTGGCTGTTACTGGTGAGTATTCATCAGTTGTTTTTCAGTAATGTTGAGGCACGATGGGTTTTTGCTTAGCTTATTGAGGTTTTAAATAGTTTTCAAAGTGAATATTTGTTTGTGTTGTGCAGGTAGGCACAAAGAGGGTCACAGCCATCACCGCCACCATGATTTGGTAAAGACAAATGGAGGATTATCAAGTGAAGACATATTTTCACTTCTGTTCTTTGCTCTTCAACTGTTATTTTTAAAGTAGAAATGATTGAATTTGTGGTAATGAACAACTGAAAATGGTACTGCACTGCATCTCTAAAGCTCCTTTTGTGTTTGCAGAGGCTGATGGCAGTCACATACGAATTGATTGGGTTTCTACAGAGGATGGATCCCACCTTTTAACTGTTGGTGTTGGTTCGTTTATTTATTTATTCACTCAAGTTTCCCAGGGTGCAGCGCAAAGAAATATTGTGATGATGAAGGAGCACGAAACTCACAAAAGACCTCCACTACGAAAAGCGTCTTCACTTGCTAATCCAGAAAGGATATCTACTCGCTTGGTTGGATTATATTTGCGTAGGTGGCGCCTGAAAGGAAATAAATGAAATATAATTTTTTAGGTTCATTGGTTATGCATAAGATACCTAGAATTACAATCTGCCGATGGTCGTCCACCGCTTCCAACGACTGTGAACTGGGTACGCGATGGCATTCTCGTTGTCGGGATGCATAGTGAAATGCGTTGTTATAGCCAGTGGAGTTTATCCACTCCGGAATTTGTGAAACATCAAACGGGCGAGGAGAGGCCAAAGGAGGCTAACTTGAAGTGAGTTTGATTTAACATATTTATACTTACATTTACTTGCTGTCAGCTCTGCCTCTGAACCCTCGCTTCCAGGAAAAGAGGAACAGTGCCACACCTTGGTGTTGTTGCTTCACTGAACATAAGCCCTTCACATTCAATGTTAGACCAGTTATCTAAGAAGACGCGTGGAGAATTTGGTACATCAAGTAAAATGTTGAAGGAAATGATGCACAGGTTCTTTAATTACAGTTTTTGTGACTTTTTTGCTGTTAGCTATCTTCCTTTCAAATTTCTTTCAAAGCAGTTTTTTTTCCAGAGCGATATCTGCGCCTCGAGACATGCACGAATTAGCTTCGAGGGATGAACATGTTCTTGAAGCAATTAGTGATGAAGGGCTTTTTGAGGCAGCTAGGCTGGCCAGTCCAATACTGCCTCAATATCATCCAAAGCAATTGATTGAATTGCTAAATTCTGGGAAAACTAGACGTGTTAAAGCTATACTTCTGCACGTTATCCATTGCTTGAAGGTTTTACACAGATTGCCTTTAGTCATTTGATTAAAATTAGCTGTTTTTTCATATGAATTTTACAGCAGTCAAACGTGTCTATTCCTAATCCTCTTTCACGGGCTGCATCTATTCGACGCATGTCTGTCAGTGATGCTAATGAAGCTGGGTATGGCCAGTCAAATTTGTCATCTCAAGAGGCTAACAGAGGGTTAACTGACGCATTTGACGATGCGAATCCAGAATACGATGAACTGGATGGTATCGCACCGTTACCTCTTTATCTCCTTATGGCAGCGGATCGAGAAACTGCGTCCGCAAGTGGAGAAAGTGCTGTTAATAATAAGGTGCTCGAAAAATTCAGCTTTTTTTGATGGTTACAAGCAGCATTGGAGTGTTCATTATACGGCACGCTTTATGTTAGGAACTCTAAACTTCAAGTATTGATTTTTACGCGTAATATGAAACGTACTTTCAGGACCAGTATAAGATGCTTTTTGAAGCAGAAACGATTGAGGATGATTTAGACGAGATGCTTGATGATCACAAAGGGAATCTTTCTCGTCGAAGTTCTATTTCAGGAGACGTACAGTTTAATACAGATAGAGTTTCTACAGTTTTTACTGCTCGGCACAATCGTATACTAACAGATTTCTTAACGCACACTCACTTACCGGGTTGGTGTTGAAGATTTTAGCTTTATCTTATAGAGCAGATGTTCTACATCTAGTTTAACGCATAATAATGATAATATTATCTTAGGGCTTTCAAGTGTAGATCAAATGCACTTGTTAGCTGTAGCAGACACTTTAAGCCACTTTTCTGCCGATGCTATGGATAAACTATCGCAAGCGAACGCAGGTAGGCTTTCAACACGTATAATATTTCCAAGCCGTTATATCAAGTGTACACTTCTTTCTAAGCCACTTTGTATTTAGCACTGCAGTCTGTGCAGCCATCCGTAGTGAGAGACGCAGCAAGCGGGTATGCGACTGCAGCTTCGGGCAGTGAAACCGTTGACGAATGTGGTTTGCGATTCCTGATGGCTATGAAACAGCATGAATATTTGCTTCTTTGTCTTCCTTTAAAGCAGAGACAAGCATTGCTTCAGAGGTGTTTTTTGCTTTTGTTACTTCGAAAAGTTATTTTTTTTTCGAAGGTATTTCCCATCTTTTGCAACTTGCTTAATTCCTTTAAATTTTACACAATTTGTTCACTACAGAGGACTTTCGTCTTCTAATATTATATGGGCGTTGCATTCGGAAACGGAAACAGAACTGCTGAATGCAATTCCTGGTCTTGTTAAATCGCAGCCTACGTGGGATGAGATGCGTGCACTGGGTGTGGCATGGTGGCTAAAGAACAATGCCTCTCTGTGCTCTGTTGTTGAAAAAGTAAGTTGTTTTTTTTCACTTTTATCTAGGAAGTACTTTTTCCTTTTTTAGGAGATATTAAATGATATCATTTTAGAAGATACTTTTGATTCCTAGTCTAGATTAGTGCGTTATTCGAATCTGTCACATTAGTTTCACAATTGCATATCAGTAGC